TCATGAATGGACTAGAACTGAGAATTAGGGTGCTGGAGAGATGTATAAGGGTTAAGGCACCAACCCTGATACAGTCCCTAGCACCAGGCCTGGGAGCACCACCGAGTGTGACCCAGACATACCCATAAGGCATCTAGACACACACACACACACACACACACACACACACACACACACGAAGATAACTCCCATTCATGATACAAAGGTGCAGGGCAAGCTTCTTACCTGCTGTAATAGCACTCGGGCCTAAAAATACTTTTTACAGAATGATGCTACGGCATCTACACACACACACACATACACACACACACACACACACACACACACACGAAAATAACTCCCATTCATGATATAAAGTTAAGTGGGTGTGGGGCCTGAGTCTTGTGTGTGGCTGACCCGGGTTTGATCCCCGACGTCCCTTATGATCCCCAAGCACTACCAGGAATAATTCTTGAATGCAGAGCCAGGAGTAACCCCAGAGCATTGCTGGGTGTGGACCCCTGCCCCCACCCAAATTTAAATAGATTGAATTCCTATATATATATATATATATAAGAGCGAAATATATAGAAATTCTATATGTAGAACTTTTAGAAGAAAACAGATGTAAGTTTTAATAACTTTGAATTAGGAGAAAATTTTCTATCTGTAGTACCCAAAGCACAGCAAGAAAAAATCCACCTATAAAAATTTTTTTTATGTGCTTCAGAAGACACCAATCAGGAAAATAAAGACAACTCAGAATCAAAGAGAAAAAAATTGTAGAAAAATTATCCAGAAAGGACTTGTATCTAACTAGAATAAAGAATGATTATGATTCAATAATAAAGACAACCTAATTAAAAGACTCTGCAAAGACATTTCTCCAAAAATGTATAAAGGTCTCACAAGCATGAAAAAAAAAGCTCTGCTGGGGCCAGAGCCATCGTACAGTGGGTAGGGTGCTTGCCTTGCATGCAGCCGACACGGGTTCAATCCTCAGCTGGTTCTGTGTTTGAAAATCAATGTAATTCATGTTCAGAGGCTAGAGAAGAAAAATCACATGAACGTAGCATTCAGTTAAGAAAAGGCAGCTGAGAAGTTTAAACAGTCTTCAGATTTTAATTTATTGGCTTGGAGGCTGTATCCAGCTGTGCTCAGGGTTTGCACCTGGCTCTGTATGCAGGGATCTCTCCTGGCACTGCTCCTGGAACCATATGTGGTACTGGAGATCAAATCCTCGTTAGTTGCTTGTAAGCATTCTACTATCTCTCTAGTCCCTGACACTGATTTTAAAAAAAAAGAGAAAAAGCCCACCCCTGGCCGTACAAAGGGGACCTTATAGGATGCTGGGGATCAAGCCTGGGTGGGCCTTGTACAAGTGCTCTGCTGCTGTACTATGACTCCAGCCCCTTATTCTTATTTTTAAAAATATTTCAGAAAACTAACTTTTTCAGCTTGACAGCTTACACAATCTACAGTTAACAATACCCTATTATTTTACACACAATCTTTTGCTATGTACTTAATAGTAAAAGACTAAATGTTTTTCCTAAGATTGGAAACAAAGGATGTCTGCTCTGATGATTTCTTTTAAACAAAACACCAAGATTGGTAGCCTGTGCAATAAGGCAAGTAAAGGAAAGACGACATTAGCAGCAAGGAAGAAATGTTCTGTATATTGAATTTATCAGTGTCAATATTTAATTGTGCTACTATACCAAGTATTTACGAGATGTTATCATTGATGGGAATTGGGTAAAGGGTTCAGGGATCATTAATATTCATTTAAAAATGAATAATAATTTTATTTAACTTTTTTAATTGTTAGGAACCACACTAAGTGATTTTTCTGGGGGCCATGCAATGACAGGGATTGAACACAGAACTTCATCTATGCAACATTTAAGGGACATCCCTAATCATTATTTCCTGTAACGATGTTAAGCTACACTCATCTGAAAATGAATTCACTTGGTTTTGGTCTTTTTTTGGGACCACAGTGCAGGTTGCTGAGGGGCTATTTCTGGCTTGCTGTTTAGGGTTCCTTCCACAGCGCTGGGGACCATGCAGTGCTAAGGAGCAAACCAGGCCTCCAGCATGCAAAACATGCATCATAGCCCTTAAAAAAGAATACAGGAACTGGCCCCAAATTTCTTTCCATTTTAAAAAAATATGTTACATTTTTAGCATTTCAGGGAAAGAAAAACATCCATACTGTGGGCGAGACTCTAAACTTCTCCATTCCGAAGTTCCTGGCAAGACCAATACTTTGAGGGACCACAACTGGCAGTGAAGGAGCTTTTCTCATTGATGCTCCAGGGACTACTTGGTGCCAGAGATCAAATCTGTGCTCTGACATGGCAAACCATGCACTCCAGTCCTTTGGAGTTATATACACACACACACACACACACACATATATATATATATATAGTTTTTAGCATGAATTTTTGCTTAAAAAAAAGGCTGGAAAGATAGTACAGTGGGTACTCTTGCTTTGAATGTGACCAACCTAGTTTTGATCCCCAGCATTCCTTATGGTCCCCTGAGCACGGCCAGGAATAATTCTGGAGTGCCGAGCAGGGAGTAAGCCAGTAAGTGAGCATTGCCAGATGTGACCCCCAAACAAAAAGAAAAAGAACAAGTACACTGAAGTGTTCTGTTGAGGATCCCATTTCTGAGCATGAGGCAGGTTTGGTCTTACATAGTGGATGTCAGATGTCAGTCAGCTGTTAGATGCTATAGGAAAAGGGGCAGGAAATGCAAGAAATTATCTGGGGACCCTGCAGTTCACAGGGCGATTAGAGAAGTGATAATGGTTGATAATCCTGGCAGGAAGCCACTTTCTGGGTTAGGGAGGTGGTACAAGGGTTAAGGCACTTGCATTGTGAGTAGCTGATCCCCGTTGGATCCCCCTAACTGCATCTAGTTTCCTACCAGGAATGACTCGAGCCCTGAGGCAGGAGTAAGCCCTGAACACCTGTTTGGAGTGGCCCAAAGCCTCCCCCCCCCCCCCCCCCCCCCCCCCCGCCCAATTTAGAAGCCTCTTCTTTCAGCCTCTTGGTTGGTCCCTGGTATGTTTACCAAGAGGTGGATGGTCCAGTAATGGCAGATGATGTAATGGTGCTGCAGGTGGGAGGGAACTGGGTGGTAGAACGCCAGGCTGATGGAGCTTTACTTCCAGAGAGTCATTTTGAAGATTACCACCCCCCCTCCACCCCCGGGACAAAACTGAATTGACTATCAGTAGGAGCCAGACAAACAAGTGAGCAAGGTTTATTAGTTTTATTTTTGGATCACACCTGGTGATGCTCAGGCGTTACTCCCAGCTCTGCAGTCAGAAATTACTCCTGGCAGTGCCCGAAAGTGTCGTATGGGATGGGGTGCCTAGGATCGAACCCCAGTCAGCCGCGGACAAGGCTAGTGCCCCACCAGCTGTACTCTTTCCAGCCCAGGTTTACATTTCTATGGTTGACCTTGTTTTGACTCTCTGGAATCAGGAAATTGTTTGGGGGAAGGGTAATGAATGGCTGAGAGACAGAGGAAGGAAACATCTTGCTTTTTGCATTATGCACATTTGTTAACTTATCAGTTGTCTATCCACAAAAGCGAATCAACTTGAAATTAACGGGTGGTCGGGCTTTCTATAAGGTGTGGAGACTCTTGTGCTCAGGCTTTTGCTTGACATGTGTCTGCTGGCACCTTCCATCTCTGCCACTGGGCCTCCAGATGTCCCTGGCATATGGGTTACACTTAATGAAAGTGTCCAGGCAAAACACAGTAGAAATAACTCGGCGCTGAGTCAACACTTGGGTTCTAGCCCAGAGACTCCCCAAATAGTTGTGACCTTGGAAGGCTCAAGTTTATGCTGTTATCCTGGACGTCAGTTTCCTTATTCAATAAACGAAACCAACCTCGGAACTCCTTGGTTTTAACAGTTACTCTCGCTTTCGTCCACCCACGTGTTAAGGTGTTCCTCCGCAGGTCCCCCCTTTGTTCAGTGTTTGAGGGGTCACATCCGGCGGTCCTCCGCTCGCCGAGCGGCGCGGGCCGCCTGCGCGCCAAGCATCCACTCGAGCGCCGAGCTCTCCCCAGCCCCGCACTGCAGCGTTTACTGATTAATCATTTGTCCTCGCGAAAGGGACCCGGAGACTTCACTCCCCAGTGTGATTCTGCAGTGCGGCTGGCGCGCCGTAAACGAGTGAGTGAGTGCGGAGAGGAAAACCGGCGAGAAGCCGACCGGAAACTGCAGTGGGCCAGCGAGCTTCTGCCCCAAATGCCCGGCACACCGTCCAGCCGCAACACTTACGCTTCCAAGCTACCGCCGCAGCGCGAAGCCCCACGCAGCGGCGCGGCCTGGTCCGAGCGCGCCCCGCCCCCTCGGCCCTCCGGCCCTCTAGCCACGCCCCAGACCAGCAGGCCCCGCCTCGTCGGCACTCTCGCCCCGCCTTTCAACCCGTTGGCCCCGCCCCCGGCCCTCTTGCCTCGGCCCACGCGCTCCGCGCTTCAACCCGCTAGCCCCGCCCCCGGAGCGGCGTGTCCCGTTCTTCAACCTGCTGGCCCCGCCTCCAGGCCCTCTCCCGCCGTTCTTCAACCCGATAGCCCCGCCCCCAGAGCAGCGTGCCCCGCCCTTTAACCTGCTGGTCCCTCACTCCACCCCTCCCCCCCCCCCCCCCCCCCGGGCCCACTCACCTCGGCCCGCCGTCTCCGCTCTTCGACCCGCTAGTCCCGCCCTTCAACCTGCTGGCCCGGGCCCGGCCCACTCGCTCCGCTCTTCAACCTGCTAGCCCCGCCCTTCAGCCCACTGGGCCCGCCCCTCGGCCCACACACCCCGCCCTTCAACCCGCTGGCTCCGCCCCCACCCACTCGCCTCAGCCCGCTCCCTCCGCGCTTCAACCCGCTGGCCCCGCCCCCAGGCCAGCGTGCCCCGCCCCCGAGCCCCGGGGCCCGCGCGTCCCCGCCGAGGCGCGCGCCCGGTAGTGCCGGGAGCCTGACGGGCGAGCGGCGCGCTCTCTCGGCGTCGCTCTGGGCGCCGCGCGGGTGGGTGGGATCGTGGCGGAGCTCCGGGCGCCCCGGCCGGGGCGGGAGAGCGCCATGGCGGCAGGCGGGGCGGCGGTATCCGGGCCCCGCGCCGCGGCGAGGTGAGGGGCCGCCGCTCCTCCACGACGGCGGAGACCACCGCGGCGCGCCGGCTGCACGCGGGCCGCGCTCCGGCATGGCCGGGATCATTAAGAAGCAGATCCTGAAGCACCTGTCCCGGTGAGCGCGCCGGCGCCGGCCCCCGCCGCCCGCGGCCCTGCCTACCCCGCCGCCACCCTCCTCCCTTCACGCCGCGCTCCGGCCGCCCCGGCCGCGGCCCCGCCTCAGCTCGCGCCCGGCAGACCGTTGTCGCCTCTGTCCTCCCCGCGCCGGGGCCCGGGGGCCGCGCGCCCCCGCACGCCCGCACGCCCGCGTGCCGGTGGCCCTGGCGCGCCCCTCTCCTCCCTCGCCCCCGGCCCCCAGGCCCCGAGCGGCGCCCGTCGACCCCCCCCCCCCCCCGCTTCCCGCTCACCCCTTCCCCAGCAGGGTCTCTGACCCCCGGCAGCCCCGCCGGCGCCCCGCGGACCCGGCCCCTGCCCGCCTCCCTCTCCTGCCTGGAACCTGTCACCCAGTTCTCGCAACCCGACGGGCTCTGCTGCCCAGCACCACCTCTCCGGGCGTCCGGCTGCCCCGGTTGCATCACCCTTGAAAACAACAGAATGGCAGCGGCCAAGGGCCCCACCGCCTCCCTCCTGCCTTGGCTTCTTTCTTCCTCGTTGCCCAGATGGGGGGAAAGGCCCGAGAGTCGCGTGTCAAGTTTCCACCGCCTTCCCTTGAAGATGTGTGTTCTGGGGAGGGGATGCGGCTCCGTGGTAGAGCACTTGCCTGGCGGGTGTGAGGCCCTGGGTTGAACCCCAGCACTGCAGCACTCAGCTGGGAATAGCTGCTCAGCACTGCGGGGTGTGCCCCCCAAGCCAACAACAAATGAAAAGTATATATAAAACAAGGCCCCCCCCCCCCCCCCCAAGAGATAGTAGCTTGGGTAGGGCTCATGGCTCGCCTGCGGCTGATTCAGTTCTATCCCCCTGCCTCCCATAGTGTCTCCCAAGCACCACCAGGAGTAACCCCGATCCATGGCCAGGAGTGGTCCCAAAAACCAAAAAAGGGAAAAAGATGCATTTGGACACTCTGCAGAGAACTCAGTGCATCCACTTTCGGCCTTGCAGTTGTTTATTCCTAGGTTTTGCTGCCCAGGGATTTGGGCAAAAGGAGTGGCTCATTTTCACTCCTTCCAAACAAGTTGGTGATGCCGTAAGAGGTTCATCTAGCTTTTTTGTTTTTCTTTTTTTGGCTTTGGGTCACACCATGTGGTGCTCCGAACTTAATCCTGGTGGCGCTCAGGGGAACACATGGGGTGTCAAGGATTGAGCCTGGGTCAGCCAGATGCAGGGCAAGCCCTTTAACCAAATGCTGTACACTCTCTCTGACCCTACTGCCAGTTTTTGTATCTCAGCCCAGTGGCCTGAGGTTTTTCAGGTTGGAGAGAGTGGGGATGTGGAGATGTGGGGGCCTGGCAAATGAAGTCAGCCAACGGTGGCCTTGAGTTGATGATGTATCTTTCTTGGACTTCTGTGCATGGTGGCTTTGAGATTTTGACTGTCACATGCCCTTTTCTGGTTGGCACTCAACCTTGTTTATTGGTACTTTTTTTTTGTCAGACATTAATTAGTAATTAGATTTAGATATATCTTTTAATGACTAGTTATAAAATAAGAGGAGAGATAGTGCTGGAAAGTGACTTTTGGACCTTTTCTGCACAGAGGTCACTTACTCTTTTCTTTTTTTAAGGTGATGTTCAATGAGTTGGATTGTTTGGTGTAAATAAAAGTAGGGCAGGAGCGATACTACAGTGGATATGGTACTTTGCTTTGCATGCGACTGACTCAGGTTCGATCCCCAGCATCCCATATCGTGCCCTGACACCTCTAGGAGTAATTCCTGAATGCAGAGCCAGGAGAAAGCCCTGAGCATTGTTCCTACCCACCCTCTGTCTCCCCCCCTCCAAAAAAAAGTAGGACTGATGCTTATGCAATAGACAGATTAACTAAGAGAAAACTATTACTTTGAATATAGTATCTTGGAATATTAGACTTTAGAGACAATCTCCCCTGACATAGCATTGTATTTAAAAACCTGGATGCTTTCTGTCTCTTTCTTCATCTATAAAATGGGAATGATGCTAGTATCTAAAAGGATTATGGTGAGAGTTAAGTGAGACAATGTGTGTAAGAACTTGATAGTGTCTAGTGCTTAGCCGGTTTCTAATCAGACATGAAATACGGTTATATTTTGTGGGGGGTCACAACTTGCGTGGTAGTTTGATGTAAGCACAGACTTCTCCAGAAAAATCCATATGCAGAAATGGTGGTTTGGGCAGGGGGTCAGGGGCTGTTATTTTTGGTCACTCCCCATGGTGGTGTTCAGGGTTTGTTCCTTGCTTTGTGCTCAGGGATCTCCTGGCAGTACTTCGGGACCATGTGTGGTTCTGGAGACCTGAGCTGGCCACAAGCAAGACAGGCATGTTACACCCTTGTGGTATCTCTCTAGCCCCTGAAATGGTATTTTTTCTTTTTTGGAGGGGTCACACCCAGCAGTGCACAGGGGTTACTTCTGGCTCTGCACTCAGGAATCACTCCTGGCGGTGCTATAAGGGATGCTGGGGATCGAACCTGGGTCGGCTGCATGCAAGGCAACCACCCTACCCTCTGTGCTATTGCTCCAGCTCCTGAAAAGGTAATTTTTAATATAGATTTTGAGGAGGGACTTAGGAATCCCTAAAGGCAGTTGCCTGAACCCCACGTGGCATCCTGGAGTCCAGTGACTAACCACTGACCAGCTTGACTGCTCATTTGGTGCTGAGGAGAGAGCTGCATTTCCTTCCATGTTGCAACAAGTGACTTGGTCAAGTTGCTGTAGAATCAGGTAATGGGCTCGAACTAGGCTTCCTCACTCTGGTTCACTTTTCCCTATAGTTTATACATTTTCTGTAACTTACTATGAAGGTAATTTTTTCCCCTTTGGCTGGATATGGGCTCACATTTGTCTGTGCTCAGGGCTTACTCCTTTGTGCTCAGGGATCACTTTTGGCAGGGTTTGTGGGGCCATATGTGGTGCTGGAATTGAACCCAGGCCAATCCTATGCAGGCCAGGTGTGTAGCCATTGCACAATGATCTCTCCGTGAGTCAGCTGCCTCACTACTGCACTATCTCTCTGGCCCAGATAGTGGTTTTTTTTTTTTTTATTAAAAAAAGATAACTTTTCCACCCCAAAAGAGTAGCATTCTTTGACATTTTGCTAACCTATACTTTCTGTCTAACGAAGACAGTTGGATCTTCTGAATTCAGTTTATTTTAGTAAATCTGACTCTGGAAACTCCAGCATACACTTGTGAGAAGAAAGTAAAAATGGCTAACAATTTTTTTGTATTATGTAAACAGATTTGACAAGTGTCTCAGAGGGTCACCAGAGTATCTCCAAAAACATATATTGAGAAACACTGGTTCAAATTAATCATGATTTTATTTCTTAGGCACTGTCACCAGATAGGGCTTTTAAAGGAAAAAAAATAATTTTTTTTTGGTACCTGGGATAGAACCTAATTCTGAGTGACATCCCTGGCTCAAGGAAAACTTCCTAGTATATGCTTACATATTCAGTGACTTTTTGTTTGCTTGTTTGGAGGCCATACCTGACAGTGCTCAGGGCTTACTCCAGGCTCTGTGTTCAGGGATTACTACTGGCAGGCTTTGGGGGCCATATGGCATGCTGGGGACCGAATCCTGGACAGCTGCATCCAAGGCAAGTGCCCTTGCCCGCTGTACTAGTGCTCTGGTCTCTCAGTGACTCTTTAGTGAACCAAATACCTTTTTTAGACTGATTCGCTGTAACTAGGAGAAATGTCTGAGTTCTTTCACCTTTTTGGTTGGCTGTGGAAGAGGAGGAGGTTTTTTCCTGACTGCAGACCAGGACTCCAGAAAAAGGTGCTAGCACGTTGGTCTGCTTGGGGGAAAGGGCAAACTCCTGGAGTCTGTCCAGTTGTTGAACTTGGAAAAATTGCCTAATTGTCTGTAATATTTGTGTCTCTCTCCAGTCCCTGCTGCCCACACACAGGCTGGCTTGCCTGCAGGGGGAAGGATACCTCTGCAGCTTGCCAAACCTGATGGGCGAAGGGAGAGAGGGAAATTACACTGCGTTACTTTGTTGGTAATATTTGTAGGTGTTTAATAATTGTTTGCCCATGATGACAGTATCATTGGACCTAGAGAAGAGTGTCTTTTAGTTGGCGGGACTGAACTCGAGTAGGCTATGTGCAAGTCCAGCGCCCTACCCGCTATACTGTCTCTCCGGGCCCACTACTTGTGTCTTTTGGTTGGAAGGGCATCCCAGCGACTTGTTATTTTAATTTTGATCCTGAAGTTTTATACGTTCTGGTGTCTTGTTGGTGAGTTGGTTTTTGGCCATACCGGGCAAAAAGGTCACTCCTGGCGGGCTTGGTGGGGACCATATGCAATGCTGGGAATTAAACATGGGTCAGCACGAGCAAGGCAAGCACCCTACCCACTGTGTTATCGCTCCAGCCCCTTCAAGTGTCTTGTTGGGAGACAAGCATCCTCTTTCTTTATAGAGTACTTTGGTAAACAAGATTTGAGGGGAGCGGAATTCAAGAAGTTTCTGTTAAGTGCCTCTCCAGGGCCAGGTACTGATGTGGGTACTGGGTTTGTAGCAGAGAAGTGTAATTAAACAATTGTTAACGGCTTGTTAAAAGCTCTGGTTTGACTAACTGCTGTGAAAATCAAATAGCTTCAATGCAAATCATTCAATGAAATAGGCCGAAGAGAAGAGCTCTACGTTAGAAATGAAAGTAATTAAAAAAGTACCCAGGACAAAGTACAATGGATGGGGTCTTGTATGCAGCCAGTTCAGTCAGGTTCTATCCACAGCACACAAATGGGCCGGGCCTGTGAACCCTGCCAGGAGTGATCTCTGAGCAGAGAACTCAGAGTAAGTCCCGAGAACTGCTGGTTGTGACGCAAGCACCGGCGGCAGAAAATCTGGGACTTGAAAGAGAGCTCAAAGGACTGACTGAGCGCCAGCTTTGCGCTGTGTGTGACCCCCTTACACCCCCAGGGGTAACAGTTCTTCACCAGCACAGGGCCTGAACTGGCCTCTCTACACTGCT